GCCCGCGTTACTGCTGAGGCTGCACCAATCTATCGGCCCAACTTGCACTCTGTCTTTCCATCCAATTCCAAGCCAATTTCAATTTTATATTAGCAGCAATCGAAAATCAAGTCTGTCTTGATAATGGCCAAAATATGTTTTTAAATATTTGTTTTACATGCCACATAAGAAATATGATCAAAAAGCTGTGAGATTTAATAGTTTTGTTGTATGTTTGTTTTATTAACTTAGAAAAAGTGAAAGATGCATCCCTGACAGTTTCTTTTTGTTATTACCTATGTTGACATATATTAATTGTTTATCAATAGTGTGGCGGAGGAGAGCAGTAAAGCTCGAGGCCCTGCCGGGATGCGGACCTTTGAGCAATCTGGGAAATCTCAAAAAACTGTGAAGTCAATGATTGAGACAAAGGGTGGGGACAAAGGCAAGGAACAGGGTGGCAAGAAGAATAAAAATGCCAAAAAGGAAGGTAAGTGCTCTCTTTTGGTTATAAAAAGCAAACTCTAAATGGGTAAGGGTAACATGATTTCAAACTCAGTTGACTCTAATCCTTTCCAGCTCCTGCAGCTCAGCCTGCCAAAGGGGATCAAGACAAGGCCTCAGCCTCTGGCCAGAAGATGGTGGAGAATGGTAACCAGAGCCTGACTGCCGAGGAGATCTTGCAAAAGAACAAAGAGGAATTCTTCCGTAAGCACAGGCCAAGAACTTCTGAAAAACCCAGGTAAAGCAGCTGATACTTCCATTTAATAGAGAGAGCCGGCCAAGAGCGATGTGTGTTTTAAAGACACATCTTGATGTCATTATCAATCTGTCCTGAATCCCAAGTTTATTATTTTTAATTTTTGTCTTATTATTTAAAATTCATTCATTTTTCTTTTCCCCAAAACTTATATTAAGTGTTACTTGTGTGTGTGACTGTCTGCTGTTGTGTTAGAGCCATGGTTTGATGATGATAATTGATTATTTTCTTTCCTCCTCTTGTGCAAAGCATGTTGAGGTGCTCATTTTTTTTTTTTTATTCTGATCTCGTTCTCACAGTAAGTCGCCAAAGCCTCAGAAGCCAAAGGGGAAAGAAAATCGTGTTTGGAACATGGGAGGCAGCAGCACCAGGGATCTGGACTACAGCGACAAGAATGGAAATGGTTCTCCAAATGGTGCCGAACAGAACCTGGAAGAACAATTTGATCCGGTATTTAGTGGTCTTTAATCTAACCACCTAGATCCCTAAGAGATCTGCAGTTAGATTAATGTGATTAAAATAAGTGACGAGATGCCACATACTTAGTTCCTCGTTTGTTTTTCAGGAAATGCAGCCAGCCTCCATGAAGGGAGACTTGCTGTCTGTGGAATACGAGTCCAGTGACGAAGAGGAGATAGAGGAAGAGGATGAGGAAGTGGTCATCAGAGAAACAAGCAAGCCAAGGTATGAAATATTAGTTTTAGAGTATCAGGAATAACATTCTTAATGTTGTCTAAACTATAATTTGTGCATTTCTTTCTTTTGTTTTCAGTTCCAAAAAGGGTGGAGGTTTGTTTGGGATGCTGAAGGGCCTGGTGGGCTCCAAGAGTTTAACCCGGGAGGATATGGAACCAGTGTTGGAGAAGATGAAGGACCACCTGATCGGTATGAAGTCAGCTGCAGAAGGCATGATAGCCTGGTATTCGTTGTCTGGTATTCATTTTCCTCCTTTCTGATCACACAGCAAAGAATGTAGCAGCCGACATTGCCTCCCAGCTGTGTGACTCTGTAGCCAAAAAACTGGAGGGCAAAGTCATGGGCACATTCACCAGTAAGTACACATTATATACATAGCAAAGTATTGATTTGTAATTTATAGTATGGTTTAAGGATCATGTTTATATTCCTTCTTCCTCTGAGTGCACCAGTCTGCATGCTGGGAAGAGTAATAAAATTACAGTAATCCATTTTAAACATGAAGTGTATGTCAAAGCCTCTCGAACTGATAAGTAAAGTCAATTAACTGCAACTCTTGTTGTTAAAAAATAACGCTGATGATATGAATGCTGTAACACTATGACCCCCTTGACTTGATTCACATACTTGGCCTTAACTGGCAATTCCAACTTATTCATTTCTTTTATTCATTGTAATTATGAATTGTGGTACTATGTTACTTTATGGTGTAATTATATTAAATACACTACATCTGTAAATGATGTCGTGCAGACTAGCACATATGGGTAACGCCTTGTGTGTGTGTGTGTGTGCGCAGCTGTGGCCTCAACAGTAAAGCAGGCCCTGCAAGACTCACTGGTGCAGATCCTGCAACCCAAGCGAAGAGTAGATATTCTGAGAGATGTCATGGAAGCACAGAGCCAGCGAAGACCTTTTGTCATTACATTTTGTGGTGTCAATGGAGTGGGAAAGTCCACCAACCTGGCAAAGGTGAATTGACATTGAAATATTTCTGCTTGTTGGTAATTTAAGTAATTTACCGTGTCCTTGTAAAGGTAAACTTTCCTTTGCCTTGGTCTAGATCTCCTTCTGGCTGATAGAGAATGGTTTCACTGTGCTGATCGCAGCCTGTGACACATTTCGTGCTGGTGCTGTGGAGCAACTCCGCACTCACCAGCGCCGCCTGAACTCTCTGCATCCCCCCGAGAAGCACGGTGGACGACCTGTAGTCCAGCTTTATGAGAAGGGTTATGGGAAGGATGCTGCTGGAATTGCTATGGAGGCCATTGCCTATGGTAAAAAAAATAAATCTACTGTGTTGGTAACTGAAAGGATTTGGCATTAGTAAGGGGTTGCTGGTTGATGCCACACAGCACAGTGTGTTGTACCTTAGCTGTAAAGAAGGGATGTGGCACTTTTAATATTAGCATTGCACCCATTTCAGCATCACTTGTTCACCTTTCCACTTTTGATCCCTGTAGCCCGCAACCAGGCCTTTGATGTGGTGCTGGTGGACACTGCTGGACGTATGCAGGACAACGCCCCCCTAATGACAGCGCTGGCCAAGCTTATAGCAGTCAACATGCCTGACCTAGTGCTGTTTGTTGGGGAGGCTCTGGTGGGCAACGAGGCAGTTGATCAGCTGGTAAGATCACTCAGAAAGTTGAAATATTTTTTTTGTACATATAAGAGGTAATAATTAGTTAATTTTCAATTTGAAGTAATACAACATTTAGTTCATATCTGTATGAGTCATGTGATCTGCTGCTAGAGTTTTCAGTCAGTGTCTAACGCTACTAAAAAAGAACTTGGTTAGGTTAAAAACATTCTATGCATTCAATTGTCCAGCAGAGGGCAGTGCTATTGCATTAAGCTGCTGTTTTGTAACACCCCTGCCTCTAGACAGCATTAGGTTGGAGATTTACATGTGAACTCTTTCCTCAGCAGTTTGTACCTGAACAACTCTGCTTTTGTTTCATGTCCATAGGTGAAGTTTAACCAGGCTCTGGCAGACCACTCCATGTCTGACAAGCCTCGCCTCATTGATGGAATTGTTCTCACCAAGTTTGACACTATTGATGACAAGGTATTTTATTGTGATCACTTTACCATCGGGGCCATCTCATTTTTGTGATTTAGAGAATATTCTAATGCAGTTTGGTAATTAGTTTGCAGCTGCTTTCTGCCTTGTGAATAATTTGCATTATTTCTCATTCGTCATCCTTCCTTCTATACAGGTTGGTGCTGCCATCTCCATGACTTACATCACAGGCCAGCCTATTGTGTTTGTGGGCACGGGGCAGACCTACAATGACCTGCGCAGCCTCAACGCCCGTGCCGTGGTCAGCGCCCTGATGAAGGCTTAAGTTGGCCGCATGTTCTTCTGGTTTATTCATCATTGCAGAGAAGCCTTTGCCACACTGCCACAAGATGTTCCAGCCCCGCTATAGCCCACGTTTCCATGCTGCTGCCCTGCGCCCTCTGCTTTTGGAATTAAATGAATGAACTAAATGTCTCACACAGGATGTTATTCTTCCAGTAAAAGGACAAGTGTGCATTTGAAAAGACAGAACGTGTTGTATCAAAGCCAGAGGAGCCTCCCTTTGTATTATTTTTAAACATTTGGGCCAAATTTAGAAAGTACCTCAGATCAGCTTGTGTTCCGAAACGGTGAAGTCTCATTCAAATGATATATTTGCTGACTGGACCTAGGCTGTGCTATCGGTTTACTGGTTTACACAGCAAAAGCTTGGAAAAGAAAAAAGCTCCCTACCTGGCATTTGTCAGTCAGATTTCTTTCATCTAAATGAGGTCGGGTAGTGCGTGTTTGCTGGATATAACATTTCAGCAGCTGCCTGTGCCTGAGGAAAGTTTAGTGACCACAGTGCCTGTCTGTCTCCTGTCTTCTCAGTTAACACTTCAACAATGTGGATACTTACCCACTAATTTCATGGCTTTGCAGGTCAGAAGAAGCAGCCCCACTAGTCTAGTGGGGAAGACAGTTTATGATTTACAATAGAGTGGGTGTGAATACCAGCACTTATCAGGTTAGATGTTTTTTTGTGTTCAACAAGAAGAAAATCACGGCATAGAAAAATCAAGGTCGACAGGGCAGTGCATCAAGATTTCCTGAACAAATTAACAGTTATGATCTAAAAGTCATCTCCCAGAGCTCCTCACCTATATAACACACAGTTAATTCATTGCCATTACAACATGAAGACTTTGATTCCCCAGTTTATAGTGGATGAAAAGCAGAAATCCATTTGTAAGTTTAGGTTTTTCTTGTTCTTACAGGTGTCCATAGATGTCAGACTACACTTCTAAGTGGTCAATTAAAGTTCTGTGGCCCTTTGACTTATTTCCCCCTCTGATTCATTCATCATTTGTAAGAGAAAATTGAAGTTTTAAACATTTTGGCCCCCCTTTAAAATGTGGTAGTGCAATATGAGAACTATAAAGAAAATTTGAGATAATTTATGAGAATGTAAACGTTTCTAAATAAAGCTGCTATATGCTATGACAGCCTCTAAAGTGGCGCTTGTTGTACTTTGTGTTAGAGATGCATGTACGAAAGGACAGATGGAATACCAAAAGCTTTATTTTGAAAATGGTGCTTATTATTATAAATACTACATCAGAAAACACATGCAAGTATTAAAAGTACAAAAAGGGGCTTTTAAAGAACTTTTTTTTTTCTTTATTTTCAGCACAAGAGTGGCAAAGAGGTTGCTACTGCCGGGAACCGCTCTGATATGAAAACATCTGAATGTACGTTTTTACGACAGTCGTTACAGTAACTCGTCCCTTTCCCCACCAAGCAGTGTGCAAATCAAGTTTTCCAGGTTGTGGGATGAGCATGACTGATTCAATCCATTCACACAAGACTTAAAATCGAGAGAAGGGGTTGTGCGTTAAGCTCAATGCAGATTTACTGTATGTTGAAAATTCAGCATAACAGCATGTTTAACTACTGTGGATTCACATGTAGTGTTTCTGTCGAACTGAAAAGGGAACATCCCATTCAGTTACCCGGATGCTTCCCACAAAGTGGATGTTCCAGCAACATTTCAATCCAGTATAGTAGGGGATGCCAGGCAGACTTTTTTCCCTTTTAGTTAAAAACGGAATGAGAAGGGAATCTGAAAAATAATGATGTAATTAAGGTTCCCCATAGATTCCTAAATGTATTCAACAAAATCAGACTTGATCTGTGAGTAAAGCTGTGGAGGAAAATGCATCTGTCAAGAGTATGGGGTTGAAAAGAAGTGGAAGGAATTGTCTGAAAAGCTTAAAAAAAGTCAAAGAACATCTACTGAAATGATGCCACTGACAATTGTTAATACTGCCACACCAGTTTGTGGAAAAAAATACCAGTAGGTTTTTTGTTTTTTTTTTGTAACTAAAAATCAAGACAGACTTGGATTTTCTACCAGCATACATTCAGAAAACAGTTCTGAACAGGACGTTTAGTCTGAAAATGTCTTTAGCGAGAGGCCGCAGGTCAGAGCCAAAGAGACGAGTTCAGTCTTAACCTTGAAGGAGGCTTTTCTGTGTGTTAATACCGATCTGCTGTTCCTCTCCGTTCTGTGACGGGGATCCTGCGGATACACATTGAAAAGAGACAAAGAGTAAGCAAGTCAAATTTTATTTGTATAGCACCTTTCTAGATAAAAAGATCACAAAGTGCTTCACAAAGAGCCCACATTTTTGATAGATACTGACAAAGAACATCCATGACCTAACTCAACCCTTCCCGTGTCCTCTTTCCTGTCCTTATTTCTCCTCTTGTAAAAAACTGAAAGCTCTTTTATAGAGCCCCAGTGCTAAAATAAACTTTTTTTTTTGTAAATGTGGTGGGCCCTTTAACGCAGATCATTCAAAGGCAGGCTAATGTGTTCCAATTCATTCTGCTTACCCCAGCCATTGGTGGACACGTCACGGTTGCAGATCTCATTGGCCAGCCTCTCAAAGTACTCAGGCAGGTCAGCGTACTCGTCTCCATAGGAGATGACCTTGATGCCCTTGTCAAGCATGTTGTCGCGCAGCTTCTTGAACTCTCCCACATCCTCTCGCCGCACGAGCATGAAGTGCTCGAGGTCCGACTTGTGTTTAACCGCCTCCAAGAACAGAGCCTGGAAGGTTGTGTCGTCTACTGTGCGGCCGCAGCCCAGAAAGACAAAGGATTTGGTCTCGTACAACTTCTGAATCTCACGCTGCAAAAAACACCCAGTGATAAAGCTGTATTATTTCATTCACAGGAGAACCTTTCAAATAAACTAGTGCACGTCCAGAGGAAAATTGTAAATCATTTCCAAGACTCTACCTGAGTGTTATATCCTTTATAAATGTGTACATCTTAAGCCAAAAAGGGGGCAGAAAGCAGTGAACGTTAGTGCCTACCATAACCTCAGTGTTCCTCAATACATTCTGATAGCCAGCAGGGTGCAGTACGATACCACTGGGGTTGGTGTAAACACCGTGGATATGCAGAACACTTAACCTCCGTTTCTCCTGAGCCCACTCCAGCACCTAGACACACAAGCACACACGAGTGCACACTTAACAGTCCATTGCACAAAATCCTGTTCTGGCTGGGAATGGAGCGCAATCACTGAGCAGCAGTGAGAGGATATTCGCCCTGATGGAGATGAGGCATAAATACCAGGACTGAGAGGCAAAGTAACGGGTCTCTCGGAAATCTCTGCTCACTCTGGCAAACTTGTGTTCTCTTTAAGAAACCACTCAGCTAAGTTTAAATGTGCTGGGACATAAATGATTGGACAGCTGAGAATTTGCAGAAAACTTATTTGGTACTTAAAAGAAATGTTTTGTACTAGAAAAACATGTGCTTCCTCTTCAGCCCACTTTAAAGCCAAAAATCAAATATTATTCAATGATTAAAAATGGAAGTTAAACTTCCCTCCACCTGCCTGACAGAAAGGGCTCTTTCAGGTCAAAAGCCTCGTTTATTTTTTCTCCTAAACCGGCCAACGGGGAACTTCACTGGAAGCCAGTGTCATAAATGTAACCAGAGCACAAGACAGTGCTCGGGGCAAAGTTTAAGCAAGATTTCAATTTGTCATTTATTTTGTCTGAATTTTAGGGAGTCATACCTACAAACCTTCCAAAGTGCTCGTGGTATCACATGATGTTGGGGACCTTTGCCCTCATTTGAAAAAAGAAAAAAAAAAAAAGACAAAAAACCCCAAACAGCTGACGGCATCTATTGCAGCAAGAAAGATCAATCACGTTTCAAGTAATATTTACCTTCTTCTCATCTGTCAGGTCCAAAGACTCCAGCTTGGTGCCCTGATGGGCTGCATAAATTTCCAGCAGGTTGTCGAAGTTGGTAGTGAGAACCAGTGCGCCGCTCTCCATTAACTGCAGCACTGACCGCAGTAAGTGTTTCCCTGCGTGCTCCATCTTACACTCCAAATCATCAAACACTTCGTACAGGCAGTCCTTGAAGAACGTGGACCTTACATTACCTGTTCTCTGTTTAAAAAGAAAGAAAAGGAAAAGCACGTTGTTATTAGTGGATAGTTTTTTGCCCAGTTGGGGCTTTTACTTCAAGATGTAGTAGGTATGGAGACCTGTGTCTAGTTGCAACTGCTAAATGAGCATTTTAGACCAAACTTGAGCGCACCTTACTAATGCAGCCATGTGATTCAGGCATAACAAAGGATTTAAACTTGTTGTTAAAATGCCTCTCCTTGGAACAGCCCTTCACGATAATTTAAGTGAAACTTAGGTGGCGCCGAAGAATAAGATAGCTGGAAAAAACTGTCTAAGGCACATTCACTTACTTCTTCTAGTAACTAATAGACTTTGCTTAAGTCTATTTAGAGATTACAGGCTGTGACTTAAACCTCATCCTCACCTGGTGAAGCTTTTAGTTTTTTTAAAAAAAAAAGAAAAAGGTGGAGGTGGGGGAACTGGGCTGCTAAGAATAGCTAAAGGACAATTCAGAAATGCACTGACCACTGTGATCCTAGGACAAGGAAATACTCCGCGGACTCTCACAGATTACAGCTCTAATGGGCTAAACAGCAGGAGTCCTTTCCACAGGAAGAAACTCATTATCCACATCCAGCATCTACAGCCCCCATCCTGACCGCCGTGTCCTTGGCCTGTCTCTGGTCAGGACTTACGTAATAACCAACTAAAGCACTTGAGACCAACTCTGTCTTGTAATTCTAATCCTAATTTTTT